CTCAGGCTGGTAACCCACCCACTTTGCAGTGAGGATGCAGGCTAAACCATTAAAGTGCTGATAGTCCTTCATTGCCTTCCCACAATTTCCCTGTGTGCCCAGAAGGACAGACAAGTTCTCCCACAATTCACTGGGAAACAATCTTAGAGCAGCTTAGCTTACCGCAGCACAATCAACCACGGAATAAGTTCCCAGGGGATCTAGCGACACACATGGATTTCTGCACCATCAGTGAGGACACAGTAACCCGGGTATGGCTGCTCATACCGGCCTAGGCTAACCTGTATGCTCATACCCAGATGCCATCACCCAGGCTAACTCTGCCATGAAGACATACACCCTCCAGGTGCATGCATGTGCAAATCCAATAACATGCAATTATACAACCTGCACACACAAAAAGATGAGTGTGTGCACACGGGTGGTGCGGATGTGCAAAATCAGAGACCATTTCTGACATTTTGGTCCTAAAAATAAAAAAAAGGTTCAATGTCACATTAAAACTTATTCTGCCTAACGCCTCTGAGATGATAAAAGTGTTCCTTTAAAGTAAGTTAAAAATGATGGGCCAGATGTTTCTCCACTGCCTTGCATCTTGTGTAGTCATTCACATCAGTGCAAAGTGGGTAAAAACCACTATCAGATCAGAATGGTAGTGTTTTCATACTCACTTTGCACAAGTGTAAATACACATACAAGGTATAAGACAGTGGAGAATCAGCTCCTTGCTTTGTATACAAACACATTTATTTACTTATGTTACTACTAAACCTTATATTGTTAAAAGTGAAAGAATTTTTTAAATTGCAGTTTCTTTGTTATTTATGCTGTTTGATTACTTTTTTCTTATCTTTCAGATTAGAAAAATAAAATCAGTGAAGACAGTTTCACTCTCGGGTTCTTAACGTTGTCATGTTGATAAGCCAACCAGTGCAAGGAAATGTTTCTGTGGAATTTCAAAATAAAGAAGCATTTCTATTCATCGTCAGTTTTATTAAATCTTTTAAAATTTATATTTGGGGCTACATGTAAGTTGACAATGTCCTTTTAAACCTGGTGTATACATAGCTATTTATGTTACACTGATTTTTATTTTTCAAAAGAGCACTTTCAATTCTTAAACTCATGGTGAAAACTTCTCTCTCATAGTCCATTAAAAATGTGACATTGAAAAACATCTTTTTAAAGTAGAAGTAGGAACCCTGAACCATGGCTCAAATTCTGGCTTATGTGACAAGAGAACACAACTTTAGCATTCCCATCTTAAGCACATCACAAAACTCAACTCAATTTATCTACATCAGAATACCTTCATACAATTTGGCATGAGACTGGCAGTCTTTGTTCAAGAAAGACCTAGGAATGATAGAGCAGAGGTATAGAGTTGTGTGCAGAAGACTGCAAAGCACTTCCTTGTGTGATGCCAGTCTGCACTGTTAGTTCTTCATTTTCATGTACATTAAATTTACTCCCACACTTAAATACAAAACAAGCAATTAAAAAATTAAATGTGATTTCTAATTACTATCCAATTATACCTAGTTCAAATCCATCTTCATTTTCCTGGTACTCTTAGCTCAGTCAAAATCTCCACCACCGTCTGTTAGTCCTCCCACCACTATGGCCTTCACATGTAAAAAGAAAAAGCAGAACCAGCCAGTAGAAGAAACACCAACTCTGCACTCTCAAATGGCCAGCAGGGGGCATTAATAACTTCCCCATACAGACAAATCACATTCTACTTTTACTAAAAATGATGTGTGTATAATATATATATATATAAAACCTCTGTCTATAAACAAGCTGTAAATGAGTATTCAGCATATGTTAGAAACACACCACATTTAAAACCAGCTGAACATATCTTACGTAAAAGGGATACCATGTTAAGCAATGTATACCCGTAGTTAATGAAACTTCACAAAGTACAGTAAATGGATTGCTACAAGTGGGACAGTTGCTACAGAGTCAACTAGATGTCACAATATGATTAATAGATATCACATGAATTGAACAGTGGAAAAGATTAAAAGGAATCTAGCTGTTAAAATGTCCAGTATTTCAACAAAATTCTCTTAACACAACTGTTTAAAAGGAAATGAAGTCATTTGCCTACCTGAAAGGAGGCAATGCATGCTCTGAACAAACAAACACTAACTCTCCCTATGTTTTTTAGTTTTAGCCAAAATTAATCGAAGACAGGGTTAAAAAAAGCTATTTTAATAACCTTTTTACTCATCCTGATGTCTTTATTCAGGCAAAATGATTATTAAAGTCAGTGTGAGTTTTACCTAATAAGAACAGTAAACACTAAAGACTTGATCCTACAAATTCTTAAACGAGTGACTTCACTACTTTACTTGCTGCAGTAAATGGTATTATTCATGTGAGTAAAGTTGCCTATGTTTGTAGAATTAAGCCTTAAGTAAGGACTTCAGGATTTGATCTTACGTGTGTTAAATCAATGGTGCCCAATATTTTGTCCATATGAGGGACACAAAGAGAACATGCCATAAGCCACCTAGTTTGCATTTAGTGGAGCAGACTGCTGCCATCCTCCTCCTTGGCAAAATACTAGAGTAGGAGAGGGCTGTGGTCTCAGCATACAATGTTCCATCTTTGACCTGTGCAACTTGTCTGTGGCCACTGGCCACACTACAGAACTTAGGGTAACCAGACAGCAAATGTGAAAAATTGGGATGGGGTAGGGGGTAATAGGAGCCTAAATAAGAAAGAGACCCAAAAATCGGGACTGTCCCTATAAAATCGGGACATCTGGTCACTCTAACAGAACTCCATGGGTCACATTCCATCAGTTGCAACTCTGGGGATCCCTGTTAAATCAAATGACAAGGATAATGTCTGTAACCAGCCAGAATCCATCTAGATAACTTTTACATTATTTACTCTGATACACACTGGGCTTGATTTTGATCTCACTCTGGAGTAAATCAGGAGTAAGCGCTGAAGACAGTGGAGTTAAACCAATGTAAAACTGATGAGACTGAAGAAACAAGCCCACTGTATTTTAACAACAAAAACATATTTGGTCTAAGGTCCATTAAGACAACTTTAAGCTTCTGTGTACAAAGAAAGCGGTATTATATTTGTATTATGCCAATGGCTAAGAATCAATTGTACTGGACATAACAAGGTTATTTTTATGCAAAATGTTTACTTAATATTTATGATATTGTTTTTAATGCAATCACAGGAAATATCAGCTGCTAGAATATTCAAGGTGACTTAGCAATACATTATGGGTAATAACAATGTGGGTATTCAGAAGATACTTAAATTTGATTAATATGCTATAAAGCATTACTTCTTCTAGCTATTAGTTAGGAGCCTTTTCTGTGTAATAATTTCTGTAAACAAAAACAGTTTTACAAAACCTGAGCTAATTCTGGACAAATGACGACCTCTGTGGAAATGTTAATGCCTTGACAAAAAGATTTGTTACACCTGATCTCCAAGTCAACATCTGCTATCAAGAAAATTTTCTGAAACTGAAGGGTGAAAATGTGTTAGGGTGCTTTATCTGGCAATTTAATTCTCAAAAAGAATAGTCCTTCAGAGATATAGTGGTTACAACATGCCCCCTCCATTCTAGATGATTACTGTAGACCATAAGAGGCATGTCTTTACATGCAACTACATGCTTAGACTACTTCCCTTTAAAGAACAATACCCCATCCTGCAGTCACAATAAAATGTAAATTTATGTACTGCACACTTCACTATGACATACTGTATACATTAAAAAGTTATTCCACTACACAGACTTTCTGATCAGCTTTTCATCAACAGAATACTATAGTAACTCAAGTTTTCTGGCTTTAATAAAAACAAAAAACGTACTTTCAGTTTCTGAATCTAATTCCCCAGCTTAATTTGCCATATTATTTAAAAGAACAGCCTATTTTCTTCCTGCAACCTTTATATTTTTGTTACCATTAGCAGGATAACCAATCCCAAGTACTTAAAAATCATGAGTCAGGGCCATGAGATAGGCTTAAAAACCATGAGACTCAAATAAATAAGAACATTTGGGTTCTTTTTATTTGCAGTATGATTGACCCCTAAAGGCTCAACACATTTTCAAGCTCTTCTCCACAAACATATGAGATACAAACTTACTTTTAAAGGGGGGTGAGGGGAGGAAAGAAAAGAAAAAAAAGATTGTCCTGTAATCACATCACCGCAGAACCTGGGGATATAAGCAAATCACCAAGGATCACAAGACTTGCAATAAAATCATGAGAGCTGACAACACTGCTTAAGCCAGAGTAAAAGAAAGACGTGGGTATGTCACTAGTGACTGGTTATCCATGGTTTTAAGCAGGGCTAGCCCTAGACCAAATGCACCCAGGCAAGGAGTGTCTTCGGCACGCCAGACTCGTTCCCCCCACCATTTGTTAAACTTTTGAATACTTTACACCACCCCAAGCCTAGCGCCCCCAAGCCCTGCACCCCAGACAGTTGCCTGCCCCTAAATCCGGCCCTGGTTTTAAGGGAGAATCCGCATGCCAAACAAGGCTTTCTACACAGAAGGAAATCTGGAAGTTGAAAAAGGCAAAGAGTCTGCAAGCAACACAACCCACAACAACAAAACAAAAATTGCCAATAAAAGTACAAGATGGATTTCTATTATTTTATGCATGGCAGTTTATGACAAAGCTCAAAGCATGAAAGCTTTTTATACATCTCATAATCTTTCAGTAACCAAATACATTTTGACCTAAGGTGAGATAAGAACCACTGATCTGCAACGCAGCATCCTACAAGGCAGAGATTTGAGACACAAGTAATATGATTTGCTGACTTGGGTAATACCATAATAGTTGTTATTTATTTATAAAGCACCCCCATTCCTGGTCATGTTGAGGTAGAATAATTTCGTGTCAAATGAATTATAAAAACATTTTAAGGTGTCCAGGTTTACCAAAAGAAAGGGCAGTGTACACTCATGAGAGAAATAAAAAGCATTAAATCCTCACCTTGTTCACAAAGCATCTCTCTATGGTGAAGACAAAAATGATGGTCGTCACTGTTCTATGGGGGTGAAGAAGAAATTCACAGCTTAAACTGCTTCCTCATCTGGCTTCGCCGGCAATGTGACTGTTGATCTACAAGTTGAGGAGATGAAAACCAAAATGAAAAAAAAAAATCAGTTAAAAACCAACCAACTTAGCAGTGGCCATACAAGGGCCAAAATATTCCTGTGAAGATTGGGAAGGGTTCTATCCAGAGCAGAATCATTCATAATACTGAGGGTCAATAACATCAAAAGATTACAGAGTTGTGTCTGAATTTGAGTTACAGAAGGATGGCAATTCACTTTCAACAAGTGACACAACTAGAGTGAAAACCAGGACTCAGAACAACAAGCCTGTACTCAAAAAGCACATTGGTAAGTGTGCTGTTTACATCTTACACCAGCTTGAGCCTATCAGGGACATTTATGATCTTCACTGGCTCACGAGTACATCTTCATGAAACACAAAAAAAAAAAATCTACATTTCATGGGTGTCCAAAAAGACAAGTCATTCATGCACAGTGTAGCTGAAATTAACTAAGGATGTGCACTCACATGTGTACCCATTCTTGTGTGTGTTCGTATATGGGCGCCCTTGGCCTCTCTTCCTGCCAGCAGCTATGACACAGATGTGCACTGTCTACTGCAGGCTGGGGCTAAGGAGTGTATGGTTCTGAGGAACTGACATGTGGCAGAGAGCACAGCCCATTTACTCTGTCTCTATGTGCTTTCCAAAATGTGATATTGGTGACTTTAGAAAACATAAGTCAGTTGTGATGACAGTCTTCACTGGCAACAGAACACAATTTCTTTGAGAGGCATCATCCAAAAAGCAGACCATATTAAGGGGATCTAGATAAAAAAGTATTAGATTTTGTGGCATTTCCCCAGTTCTATCGTCTTAATCCCGGCATGCTGGAATTAATGTATTTTACTGGAAATTCCCAGATAATATAAACAGAAAGTACACTATGACAGCAATATTTTTCTAATTCTATATTTTTAATCATTAAAAATTACAGGGAGCCAGCATCACAATTCTGCTGACATCACATATCAAACAAAATATGTTTTGCTTTTTCACTTGGAACCTCACCAAATATTTTTTGTCACTCTTTAGCAGGACTACTATTCCTCTGTCGTGAGGCAGTTTTGTGTTTGAGTTTGAGAGCATACTTATGGCCCCTGTTCATCCAAGGACTTGCGCACACGTTTAACTTTATGCCAGTACTTAAATCCATCCTTATTCAGCAAAGCACTTGCAGGATTTAAGCATGTGCTAAAGTGTTTTTCTGGATTGGGGCCAATAACACATTCATGCACATAGCTATTCATAGTAGAATACAAAACTATCACACAATATAGTTGTAGGAGAAAATATAGTAAAGTAATAGCTGAATAACAAATACACTAAGCTCAAGAAGAAACCAGACTTACTTGTCTAGTTTCTGTAACTTCCAAATACACCTTTGTCTGCAGAGTTGTTAAAATTAAAAAATAATAATAATAATAAACTTATACAAAATAAATATCAGCTAAATCAAAATCTTATCACCTTAAACTTTTCCCCCCACATTTTTTAAAATGTATGACTTTTGAATATCTGTTACATGCCAGAGGCCAAAAACATCTTGTGTGTGTTTGTTCTCCCTGTCCAAAGATAAATATACTAATTTGTCTCACTCAAAGTTCTGCATAAGGTAAAATTAAATGACCAAGTCAATATTTTCAGTTTTAAAAGCTTAGTGTATTAAATTTCTTAGATGCAAAATTCACTGGCATAAAGCACACCATTTCTTGGGTCTGACATACTTTCCTATACCACGCCTGCTGTACTTCTGTTTGTCACGCTCATTACATTTTGATTTGTTAAAGTAGACCTGGTTATAGCAGTCTCAGCAGAGGACTCCAGCTAAAGCTGTTCTCTGAACTGATTAAGTTGCATGAACTCTACCTGAACAATCTTCCACAATAGTTAATCACTCAAAAACCTGTCTGATCAGCTAACAGCCTCATAGTGGGCTGTCTCATATTCTGAACTACAGTTGAAACCAAGGTACATTTCAAACCACATATGCAATTGTTATATACATTTTTTAAACCAAAATACACCTTGTTACTGCACCTATTCGCAGACCACAGCAAAAGCATTGTACTATATGAATAGCAATACAAAAATAGTGGGTTACTCCTGCTCCCTTTGAAGTTAATGAGAGTTTTGCCATTGAATTTCAGTGGGAGGACGATCAGGTCCTGAGTTTTGATTCTCTAGATATATTACTAATATAAACTATTTTCATATTTCAAGTAATTAGATGCTTTTCAATTGGCTGCATTTAACGGTCTATTTTAAAAAAAAATTAAGATGAAACAAGGCTATCGGATAGATTACAAAAAGATTTTTTTTTTTTTGGAGGCAAAGGGAATTCAGGCCTGTTTTAAAAGATCCTTTAAAATCAGACCATTTTTGTCAAGCTTTTTTATAATGAAATCCAGGGGCAAATTTGTTTTTCACAAGTTCATATAACGCATTTTTTAAAAAATTTACTCTGCAATGCTGTGAGCCACATTATAAGCAATTTGTATACGAAGCATGATGCAGTACAAAGGATCGTACAAACGGCAGGAGTCAGTTTGTATGGTTATTTGACTTTCTCCAGTCCCATTTTCCTAATCCCCTCCATACCTAGCCCAAAAACAAAACGACTGATGAATGTTGTACAAAGATGATGACACAACACCCTTATTTTACACACACACAAAAAAGAAGAAGAAAAAAAAAATAAAAGCCCAAATCAGCCACTGCACTAAAGTGTTGTACTTAGAGTGAGAAACTGTTCATGAACTTCCCCATGAGAAGAAATTCCTCTGCTTGGCAGACAGACAGAAACCTGCAGGCTCAGTTACACTGCAGCTGGGATTGTGAGCTGGCAGGCAGTGCAAGATTTGACCCATAGACAGGCATTACTCCTCTTGTTACCTTCTCCAGTCTCGTACTTCAACATGAGAGCTATTAAAATGTCTGTTTTATTATTATATTTTTTTGGATACTATTAGGCTCCAGCAGTTAAGGGCCTGATCCTGAGAGGTGTGGAGTACTGAACCATTGGGAATTGTGGGTACACGTCACTGCTCAGAATCAAGCCATTAAAGCCACAGGTCTAAATTCACCATTGGTATAACTGGGAGAAACGTGAATGGAAACGTTAGCCACTTATGCAAGTGGTGAATTCAGCTCCTCCAGCACAGTTCTGAAGTCCTTACTCAGACAAAACTCCCACTCCAGTCAATAGCAGTTTTTGCCTAAGAAAGGTGTAATAAAGACTTCATGGTTACACACAACAAGACAGATTCTGAGCTCCATTACTCTGAATGTGGCCCACTGGAATTACTCCAGATTTACACTAGTACAATAGAGAGCCACATTTGGTCCATTTAAAAAACACATATATTATTTCTTAAAAGACTAGTGTAATAGTGTAGTATTCAAACATGGACATTAAAGACAAAAATATTCCTCAGTTAAATGTATTATTAAATCGCAGTAAACAACCTGAAGCTCTTTATATTCTTAAAGTGCACTTTTTACATTGGAGAAAAATGCATTACAAACATTGAAGCAAAAGGCCTTCAACTGTATGCTATGATGAAAAAATATCTTTTAAAGTAGTATGAAAACAAATGTGAAAGAGCTTACTATTATCAGAAACAAACTAACCAGTATTGAGTCTGTCACAGATAAAATAGCCTTGGGTTTTTAGTTGGTTTTATTACAGTATATATACACCCTACGTTTTTGCAAGGTGAAAATGCAAATTCAAATACCAAATAAAACACATCCAAGGCCCTGAGCCTACTAAGAATTATGGACATGCTTAACTTAATACACTATCAGTTAAGTAATAATTATAATGTGAATTATCAGTGACTTAAATTATATTAGTCAGAGCATGTAAAGTTAAGCAACATGTATAGATTATGGCAGGTTTGGGGCCTACCATATTAACCCTTTTAATGGTGACATTTTCACAACTTCATACATATGATTTCAGCCTTCAAATGGTTAAACACCCAACAAATCAAAAGCACCAGATTGCAAAAGAAGCTTTCAGATACGCTTGGGAAAGACTTTTAAAAATTAACAAAACATTTGTTGATTCATTAACAATAAACACGGGTGGAACTGGTAGAACGATTTCATTAGCTAACTAAATATATTTGCATACTCTGCACACATGTAAAATCTGACAGTCCAGTGCTGTAACAGCTCAGAAGTATCTTTCATAAAAGTTCAGTGGTTAGGAAATGTCATAATATGCTTAAATATTCTCCAAGAAGACATAGAAGTGAGCTGTACAGTCTGTCCAACATAAATATTGTACATACGCCACTTGAGGTAGCCCAGTCACAAGACAAACACACCTGAATGGACGATGAATACTGTCTGTTACCATGGCAGCCTGATCTAATTACATGACTGATCAGGGCTAGAGTAAGTGCACTGAAAACCTATAGCACTGACATGTATCTACATGACGAGAGAGAGACAGACAGAGTTGAAGAGAACCTATGAACCTTTGCCTTCTATAAACGATGATGAGATTAAAGCCATCCATTTAAAAGAATTGCTGCCTGAAAAATATTGGGCCATTTTCATGAACAAATTGGAGGTCAATACAATAAAATCATAACTTACTATTAAAAGGTACCTTGCAGCATCTCAAAAATAACTACAATGGGATATTTTTTTCTGTCACTCTCAATTATCTCTCCCTCATTCATAACCCTTGCTCCACAGAGCTATAAAACTGAACTGTCTTCACCACCCAAACAAACAGAGCTACATTAACATGAAATCTGAATTTTCCCTTAACTGAAGGTTACATCAGAAGCTAAAATGAAAAGACCTTGACTTCCCTAACATGTCAGCAAAGTAACTGGCTATGCCTGAACACATCTGACATGTAAGTAGCCAATACTGCATAACATATATAACAATGATAATTAAATATTAAATATAACGTGCATTATGAAATATGCATTTCTTTATAATATGAAACATAAAATGTTTCAAAAACTAAGGTCATCCACATTCACAATTCCTTATTTGTACATAAAGAATATTTGTAAGGAACAACTGTTTACATCATTATGTTTATTTCTGGGACATAATAAGGAATGCTTACAATTTTGGCTAATTGTATCCGGAGTCCAGGATCACAGGGGGAGATGCAGTTTGGAGTCCCTATTGCACAGCATACGGTAAACAAAATAAAAATAGCTTGTTGTTCTTCTTATCCACATAGTACATTATATAACCAGCTTCGGACTTGTTTTCTTTCTATTATTACTCTTCATTAATTTCCTGCATCTTCAATGGCATGGAAACAGTTCCCAATCCCGTCTTTTTATCATCATTATCATCACTACTACTGAAGGAGCCAATGTTTTCTAACAAATTTTAGGTTAATCTCTAATAGTCTTAGAAATTATTATATTCCTTGATTGGTTTGTATGTACTAAATAAATGATTATTCTGTTACTGTGTTTTATTTAAAAACCAACCCAAACAAGGGGAGGTCAGAGTCAAGAGAGGAATGCATACCTGCAACATAAATTAAAGAGAATGCAGCAGTCACAATCAGAAATGGAGAGAGCAAAATATTGCTATATCCAAGGATAATCACATCAATTCTTTAGCACCAGAGGCTGTTGCTAATCCCCCCTGGAGAAGCTAAATGGTCTCTTTGCTTTTAGCCAGCCTCAGCTCTCTCTCCCTGGCAGGGACTGGAGGAGGGTCAAAGCAGGAGAGGCTCTGCAGACAGTGTGAAGGGGAAAACGGGACACCCAGGCCTCCCCTGACCCCCGGCACTAGCCCTCCTCACTCACTGCTGGAAGTGCCAGCTGGTGTCTCCAGCCGGCCTGGGCCGTGAGTGCAGCGTAGTGGGTCCGCTGCTGAGCGCATTCCCCGTCCCAGCGCCGCCTCTTCCCCCTCCTCCTCGCTCCATTCACCCCTCCGGCAGCCACCCTGACCCAGCCCGTACTACACAGCCCAGCACGGGCTGGCCCGGCCGACCGGCGGCAAAGCCTCCCCCGCCGCAGCCCGCACAAACCCGGTGTCGTGCAAAACTCCAGCCGCTCTCACTTGCCTCCGCGCCAGCTAATGCACCAGGGGCAGCCACAGCCAGAGCCCGGCAGCAGCAGAGCGAGCGTGAAAACGCCACCCCTCCTTAGCACACACACACACGCGTCCTCTCTCCTCCCATTGGGGGGGGGGAGGGGGTGACTGAAAGCAACCCAGACACAGGGGCTACGGCTGTCTCCTTGCCTGTACCCCTCCTTTCTCCTGCCTCCTTCTCCCCCCCCCCGAAGACATTTCTTGCATGCACAGAGTGCAACGAATTCCAGCCCCCCCCATGTCCCTCCACCGCCCCCCAGGATCGCAAAGCCATTTTCTGGCCTCCAGCCTTCCCAAGGCGGGGGGGGGGGGTGGACTGGGCTCCCGGGCTGGGCTGCAGGAAGGCTGAAGCCCCAGTGTGGGGGTGGCTCGTCCAGTCCCCCCCCCCAATGTTTCTCCAGCTGGAAAGCGCTGGAGGTTTTCAATCGAAAGGAGGAAAGAAGCCGGGGAAGCAAAAAGCAGAGAAGGAATAAAAAGCCACTTACTGCCAAGTGTCAAGGGAGGTGGGGGCAGAGAGAGACTCACACACACTGTCTTGCTAGCTGATCACAGGGCTTGGGGGCGGGGGGGGTTATGTTGGTTGCCTTTTTCTCTCTCTCCTTCCCCCTGCAGTGACACAGGTCCTGGATGTCTCCACCACTGTAGTAGAAATGATGTCTGCGGTACAGCGCTCTCTCTCCCCCGCTCCTCTCTCTCCAGTATGTAAATGTGTAATAGAAGCCAAATATGGAGCAGTTGGCTGCCTCTGCAACAGCTCAAGGATCCTACTTCATGCAAAAGGGACGGGGGAAGGGAGGAGAGGAGGAGGAGGCGGCACGGCAACACTTTGGCAGGCGGCCAAGAGAGCCACACAGATTATTGCATACGCACCACAGAGCCGGGCCAAGCCAGTCTTAACCCTTTACACGGCTTCTGCCCAGTTACGGGAAGAAAGGGGGGGGGGGAGGAGTTGTGGTGGGGTTTGTTGGTGTTTCTTCCCCCACTTCAAAAGGCAACGTTTGCCCTCAAAAGCACAATTAAAATAATACTGATCATCCGCTGTGCTTCTCTGAAGACTCGCATCTTGGGGATCTCAAAGCGCTCTGCAAACAGTAATGAAAGTGACCAAGAGATTCACTTGTTTAATAGAAGAGAGCCCGCCGGGGATGCCTGCTGTCCTTTGAAAATGGCGAGTGCTAATTTAGGGGACTCCTGAAGATCGGCCACTCAGTCTTTCACCATGAGGACTTGAGGGGGTCGTTTTCCTAATTAGTATTATTCTTCCAGGGACAAATCGTCAACTCCTATTGGAGTCGCTTGGCAAAAAGGTGCCTACCACCTAAATCAAGTCCCAAATGACCTTTACTCTGATCCCTTATTAAACAGCAAGAAGGCAGATAGATTTGGACCTTGTATAAACAGATACCTTTGGGTGCTGACCACCTTTCCAGACTCCCTAATACACACTGTGCCAATTACACTTAATCTGAGGCTGAACCTCTCCCAACTATTCCCCCAAGTAGAGCAATTTACCTCTCCATGATGCTCCGGCCTCCGCTTGTTGCCCTGTTCTATCCTCCTGAAGAAATGACACAGGCCTCAAGGGCACCATTACCATGGGTTGGGGGATTGGGGCAAGTGGCTTTGCAACCTGGCACATAGGGTCACAGCGCCACTCAGGCTTGGCCCAGTCACCCCTCCATCATGACAGGGGGCGACCAGGTCAAACCTGCCACCAAAGGCAGGTGCCTAGCTTGCCTGTATCTAGAGAGGCCTCTGGTTTTTATACCCCCAGCTACAGAGCTTTATCTCAAACTGTATCAGCTCATGCCTTTGGTTCAATCCCCAGTGGAGGGGGAGAGTAATACACTTAGGCCTGGTCTACACTATGCCTTTAATTCGGATTTAGCTGCGTTAATCCGAATTAATCCTTATACAATCTGTTTCCCAAATTCGAATTATCTAAATTCGAATTAATCTCGTACTGTAGACGTACCCTTAGATGCAAGAGCCAAAAAGGATATCTTCTCTGTTGACCCCTAGGCTGGATTCCTAGAGGAAAACACAAGAGAAAGAAACTTCAGTTAATAAGAAAGGAACAGAACAGCAAAATTAAAACTAAAATTGTTATTGAAGAAATGAATAAAATGAAGTTCCATACCTCCTAGAGCACCAGGTCCTGTGTGTGTTCGTTGTAATATACACTAAGCCCATAGGCAAGGCAGTGGGGTCCTAAAGGAGCTACTGACTCTCTGCTAGGACATCAGCACACATGAGGGCATAGTGTGAGCGCCTCTCTCTTAGCTGACACACTGGGGATTGAACCAAAGGCATGAGCTGATACAGCTTGAGATAAAGCTCTGTAGCTGGGGGTATAAAAACCAGAGGCCTCTCTAGATACAGGCAAGCTAGGCACCTGCCCTTGGTGGCAGATTTGACTTGGTCGCCCCCCGTCATGATGGAGGGGTGACTGGGCCAAGCCTGAGTGGCGCTGTGACCCTATGTGCCAGGTTGCAATGCCACTTGCTCAGATTTGGCCCGGCTGCTCCTCCATCATGATGGAGGGGTGGTTGGGCCAAATTTGAGTGATGTGGAAGGTGGCATATTGACATGTTGCTTAGGGTGGTAGACTGCTTTAAACAGCCTTGGATAACAACTCATTTCATCTCTGGATCAGCACAGATGGAGACTAGTAACACACTTACCAGTGGGTTTCAATACCAGAGTTACAACATGCACAAGGCAGCTTCTGATGCAGAACAAAACCATTCAAAGTGGACAATGGGGCAAACCCAAAATTGACGTTATGCACATGCTCCAGGGAGCTGTGCTGGGCATTGTGGGATAGGTGCAATAATCCACAGGCCATGCAATGCTTGTAGGGAGTGCTGTGCGTGGACCCTGAGCACTGCTTGCATCCAAAATAGGGTGACTAGTGTTGACACTCTGCAGTGCTGCAACTTGTACCCAGTTCCCTCACACCACGGCAAGTTACAATATGGCAGTTTTCTAGTGTAGACACACCCCATGTGTTGGTGAAGTGTTTCTATAATCTTAGTGGCTACATGCAAAAAAAAAAAATCACGACTCTAAACTGTCAGTTTCTGTGGACGGATCTGCAAGGTAATTCCTTATAAAAAGAAATAGATTGCATAATTATACCATAATAGCTGAAAAGAATGTAGTAATAATATTGTAAGAGTCAGTGGTTTTGATCAATAGGCAATAGAATAGTGTATACTGTATATAGCATAGCTTTATAAGGCATAAAGATCCTTATTATTACGACTAAACTTTAGTTAAGGTTCCAGCATATGTAACCTGATGACATTTTCTGTTTTATGAGTGCTTTGGGGAAAAGAAACAGCAACAGGCCAAGACATTTGGACAGACGTGCAACTCAGCACCTCAAAGTAGTGAATCTGCAACAGCAGCAGCCAAGCAGACATCAACATCATCCTCACCCCGCTAATGCAAGATTCATTGATTGAATCAAAGGGAGGGAGGGAGAGAGTGTGGATTACTGAAAATCAAGTGAAAGCTCTAGTCAGTTTTTAAAGTGGTCTGAAAAAGTGGGGTGGGGTGGGGTGGGGGAGGTCTATTATAATCTGGGAGCAGCAGCTTTGGCAAGAACCATGCTTAAAATGCACCCCTCAGTGACCCGACTTGATTAAAACAATATTTTTTTTTGGCTGAGTCTGCAACCCCTTGCAATCCCTCATCCCATACACTCACTTTAAGCACTGCCTCTAGTGACACTTCAACCCCTTCATCTGGGCACAGTTTTGAATACACTGCATTCCCCCGCTACCTTTTTTATTTCTCTAGTTCAGGATGTTACCTCAGTAGAAAGGAATCTCTCATTCTAATATGTTCACCTTGCCAACAGGTGTGGCACACGCAGAGAAAAAGAAGCCATGTTCATGCTGAAGCAAGCTCAGGGCAACCTTCTTCTTTGCAGCAGATAAACATGAGAGCCCTGTGTATACCTCTATTCTTTGGCTATAGAGTTTGCTGCAGAAACTTTGCTGCAGAATTGTGCTCCAGAACCTAAGCTTTTAAATTTCTCTCTATATTTCTAGTCCTCATGGATTGATGCATAAATTGATGCAGTGTTGTCTTCCTGAGTCTGCAGACAGCCTTAAAGCAGACTTTGGGAGGTGCCACAAATCCAAACTGCCGGGTGGCAGAAATTCCAACAGTTCCTTACCTAGCTGCTGTTCCTTCACCATCTTCTGACAAATTCTCTGGGGGCACTTATAAGCTGTCATCACAAAAACCTTTAGCATACCAAAACTAAAAAATAGGAAGACAGCTTAAAATAAACTGAATTTAATGTTAAAATAAATAAACTACTGCACTGACTGTATTATTAATTCTTATATTTAATGGATTACACAGCTACATTCAAAAAAGCTGCAGCAGAATTTGCAGCTTCCTCAGCAACCAGGAACTTTGCCACAGAGCACAGGTCCAAGTTGCCACGAAGTACAAGAACCCTTAATTAATGCAGAGGAGCTGAGAGGCGGGGACATAATGTGACCTTTTCCAGACAACTGGCACAAAAGGCCCGATTAATCCTTCAGTCTTTATTCAGGCAAAATGCCCTATCGACTTCAACTGGGAGTTTTGATAGAGTAAGAAGTGCAGAACTCAGCCTCAAGAGAGGCGGAGTCATTTGCTTCAGAAAATGAACATTAACAGCTCCAGGATGAAGACTGGGTGGACAACTTTGCTTCTCTGGCACAGTGGAACTTTCTATAGTCAGTGTAGGAAACAGAGCTTTATCTGTGCAGTAGTCAGAGCTTTCTCAGGGGCTGGTCAAAGACTGTGGAATGAACTCCCCCAAGAACTAAGGACCATCACAAGCCTCACCAGCCTCCACTCTAAGTGTAAGGCACACTTCCCTGAGTTTGCCTCTTTCACATAAACATAGCAGCAAGTGAGTGCATATATATATGTATGTATATTGTTTTTAAAGATTCCAAAACAAAAACACTCCGTTGCACACACTTCTGCCTCTGGGAAGAGGATGAGAGAAGAAACTTGTAATAGATGTTAGCCACATTGTTTAATGCACTACTGAAAGGTGCTCAGATACCGAGGGGATGAGTGCAGTATAAGAACCTATATAGTACAGAATAGGTTACATCTGAACAGACATCAGGTATTTTATTTACCGCTTCTGATATGCTACAGATGATATGACTTCCTACTGAATTCATTCATGACCGGAGGACATTAATCAATTTGATATACAAGATACACAGTGCCCAGAAAAAACTCTGTGTCAACATGCTGGTTGTAATGTGTCATCCACAGTATATATTTTACACATCTAATAATGACAAATGGGAGAATGAGAGGCATAAAACGACTGGATTTTTTTAAATATAGTTTTTAAAATTCAAACATGCACAAGTTATTTCAGCTCCTTCCAGAGAAGTAGACCAGTGATTATTCTTCACACTCAGCACATCTTTAAGTTTAAAATAATTGATTATTAGAGTCTAAATTTTAGGTCTGTCATAAAATGACATTGTTAGTCTCATTACAGCCTCTAGTGGACAGTAGTAATCCA